TGAATACTCTTCAAAGTGGAGGTAATACATTAGACGTGGTCTACCTTAACAATGAAATAAAAAAAATCTCAGCCCATCAGAAGATAATGTAGAGAGTGAGTTTATGTAAAACATCACTGAATTTACTACCCTTCATCTACATAGTGCCTACCCTGTTAATAGATGTGTGTTTAACATTCAATGATTATAATATTTATAATATGGTATTAAATACTTTCTGCAATTATAAATTACCTTATTGGTAAATAATGAAATATTTTTAATAATTAACAACTTTCTTAAATATCAATAATAAAGCATGCATCTGGAGACGTGCTGCTTAAAGATATTTACCTCCGAGTTATTTCATAATTAAAAATTGAACAAATACAAGGTGGAATTGAGCTGTTGAACCTCGCAACACTGCCATAAGGTGGTGCACACGTTTCCTTTATCTGAAGCAGTAAATAAAAAGTGTATAATATACAATTAAATGTAACCACATACACAAGGCTGAAACAATAGGTTTTGAAATCATTATGACAGCATACTTGGTCAACCACAGCCAGTTTAGCCATCACTAGTCGTGATCCGTACTCTCAGTGCCTGGAAGGACGAATGGACCCTTATTAATTACATAGTCATCACTAGATTCATTTTATTTTTTTAAATGACTACTTATTATTGTGGTATGCTTACGTTGATATGTAAATAAGTCAATGCTTGCCATAGAAGTCACTGGTGTTATGTGAATTTACTGCTGCTATGGAAAGTCAATAATTATTTTTAAGTACAATTGTTACTACGGAAAGTGACTGGTTGCTGTGAAGGGTCAATGGTCGCTATATAGAAGTCACCAGTTATTATTAGGGCTGTAACAAACAACCAAACTCTCGAGGGTTCGTGAACTTCTTAAAAAATGCCTGCGACGTTTTCCGGAGTTTTCATATAGACATATAGGCAAAATTAAAACTGTTTAATAGAATTTCTTTAAACTTGGCATGTAATTAGGATATGATAACAGAAGCATTTTAAAGGATTGATTTAATTATGAAAATAAAAAGTAGATCCTGAATTTTCATAATACAAAATTTGTAGATTTGATATAAAATTTCACAATATACTATTGGTTGATTATACTTTCCTAATGTAAGTCAGTATAAAGTTGTTTCGAAAACCGATTTGTATATCGCTATTCCGTATCGCAAAATGTATCGTCTCGCATTTTGCATGGCAATATACAACCCTTGTTGTTATGGAAAGTCACTTAATGCTATGAAAGTTAATGGTTGCTAAGGAAAGTCAATGGTTGCTATGGAAAATCAATGGTTGCTATGAAAAGTGAGTGGTAAGTATGACTGTCACATGGTGCTATAGAAAGTCAATGGTGATTATAGAAGCCATTGGTTGCTTTAGAAGTCATTGACTGCTATGAAATGTTAATGGCTGCTATGGAAAGTCACTGGTTGCTTTCGGAAAGTTAATCGTTGCTATAGAAAGTAGATGATTGCTAAGGAAAGACAATGGCTGCTATGGAAGTTATTCGTTGCTATAGAAGTAACTATAAAAAGTCAATGGCAGTCTCTTGTTGGTATAATTCATGGTTGCTAGATAAAGTATTTGATTGCTATCGAAAGTCGATTATTGCTATGGAAGTCAATGGATGCTATGGAAAGTCAAAGGTTTTGTTTTTAATCACCGATTGCTGATGAAAATCAATAATTGCTTAGGAATTCACTGGTTGTTATGGACAGTCAATGATTGCTATGGACGTCACTGGTGGGTATACACATAAGGAAAATCAATGCACCCACTTCCACACCTCAAGGAAGGAGCCGCTTCAGACTCCTATAATTTTTTACAATCATAGTAGATGTCAACAATATAAGGTTCCAATCTAGTTGTTATTAGCTTTTACTATATATATAATCGAAAATTTCATAACCCCTTTGGCCGGGCCAATCTAGACTTCAAGGCTGTAATTTTATCAAACTTAATAGAGGCTCAATAGACAATTTCTTATGTTATTAAAAGAAATTGGATGGCTATCTTTTTGATTTGATAGAAGACGTTAAACACTTTTGATTTCGATTCCAAAAATAGAGCCGTCAGATGACACATTTTATAGAATTCCACTCTTTAAGTTCACAAAAGTTAGTTAATTAGTTAGTCAGTCAGTAAATTTGTTTAACTGTGGAATTATATGGAATTATATGGAATCGATTAATTTGCGAGTCGTCAATAAAAAATACAAGTACATAAAACATTCATAAACATTCCGATTTTAAATTTCTTGCATTCTTACAAAACACTTGATTAACAGTTTCGTCAAATGAAAAGAAATTGTTTTGTGAACAGAAAATACATTTTTTTTCACTTAAGGTAGAACGCGACACTTTGCGAACTTTCGAGTAGCGTCTTGAAAATTGGCATGCAAAAATGACCATATTTCTGATTGGATTTCGTTGATTTTATTTCAATAGTTTCAACCAATTTTTGTACACATGACGTCAAAGTTGACCATCAAAGCCCGTTTTTGAACATGACGTCGTTGCGTATCCTTGGCAACTGATACGGGTTTTTCAACGCCATTGGCGGACAAAATATCTTAATTCCTACAGCATTCGACGGAAATTATTTTTTCCTTTAAGCAGATATAAATTTTATTGTTTTACGCCTAAAATTGTTTGAGTAATGGACAGAAAATTGTCAATTTTGTGTAAAATTTGACGTTCAGTTTAGCCGCAATTTTCGGCTTTAAAGCGGCTTATTAAAAAATTCCTGAAATAAATTTTTGATTTTTTTCTTTAAACGTCCTTTAAAATGTAAACTTAGTCAAAATAAATTAAAAAATAGGGGGTCACCGACTCAATTTTTTCAGTACACGTGATTTTATTTCCCCCACCCCTTTGGATAAAAGTCACGATATCACGGAGCTTTTGGATTTTTGATGTTATTAAAACGATCGCCCTGTGTCAAAATCCAGCTTTTTACGGCATTTTACGCTATTATGTCCACTGCGAAATCAATGGATACAATAAAGGGGTACGGAATTCCGTATATTGTAGATAGACAAGTAAACATAAGTGAAATTTGATGTACGGGACCGTATATTATGACTCATATAGCGTGATCCGTACACTCGTAATATGCTGGAACTTTAAATGAAGTTCGTGTTTACTAAAATACGTATTTTTTTTAATTACACGATCAGATATTACCAAAATATGTTTTTTTTTATTCTTGTAAATACAGATTTTGTATATAAAACAGTGAATAAAGATGTACTTCAGAATTACCCACTTTCTACAAGAGGAAAGAAATAATAGCCGGATCTGACATTTGTCAAAATAACATTAAATAGTAAAACTTTGAGTAAAATGTAATATTTCTCGGTTTTATTAACATGTCAGTTGCATACTTAGTGATATTATGATATTCTAAAATGATAAGCAAAACGAGAGAATATGTATTACAGATACTTGTAGAGTCGAACGTGCTACATCTGTAATCCAACACCCACTGAGCTAACGTTTCATGCATGACTGTTTGCTTCACGCTAATATAATTGACTAAGTTTCATTTATGAACCGTATATTTTAATTTGTCACTATTTCGCCAATTCTGTCAAATTGTTGCAATAGTTTTTGATTACAAGTGAAATTCAAATTCTGGTTTTTAATAGGTGAAATAAAATACATATCACTCACAGTATATCACTCATAGTGTGGGTAATGCAAAATGTATAGATTTGCAGAATTTCTTGTAGACTACGTATTAATTTATGATTGAATTTCCGTAAATTTCTAAAATTTTTAATAAGCCGCTTTAAAGCCGAAAATTGCGGCTAAACTGAACGTCAAATTTTACACAAAATTGACAATTTTCTTTCCATTACTCAAACAATTTTCGGCGTAAAACAATCAATTTTATATCTGCTTAAAGGAATAATTAATTTCCGTCGAATGCTGTAGGATTTAAGATATTTTGTCCGCCTATGGCGTTGAAATACCCGTAACAGTTGCCAAGGATACGCAACGACGTCATGTTGAAAAACGAGCTTTGATGGTCAACTTTGACGTCATGTGTACAAAAATCCAATCAGAAATATGGTCAATTTTTTGCATGCCAATTTTCAAGACGCTACTCGAAAGTTCGCAAAGTGTCGCGTTCTACCTTAAACTCATACATCAAACTGTTGCGGCGAGGCTATCAAATCAACAACAAATGTACATTGCTTATCTTTTCTCTATACTTATGTAGTTATGCATAACAAATTAACTTCAGTTTAATTTTCGTTAAGTCACTTTTATTAAAATAAAAAAAGAAATATTTGCTATAAGTGTTACTGTAAATAATGTTTTACACATCTATTTCTAAAAAAACATTAACGTTTTTGTAAGAGGGTGGCTCTCGATTATGTAATGATAACTTTTGGCCCACCCATTGTGTATATTTACTATGATGTATTTATGTATTATATTGTATCATTGTTGAAACAATACCAAAATGTTTAAGAGAGATTCTGAAGAAATATTAACGTTCATCTGACCAACTTACCTGTTGAATACAGCTAATATCATCTCTGTCATAAATCACGAAATTATTCCTTGTTTCAGTCAATGTATCTATCTTGTCATATAACACAATACCGTAAAACCGAAATTATGGTCCATATACGTGGACAAATAAATATCAAAGTTGAATATAGTTCTAATTGTGTTGTTTCCTATTTCATCAAACAAACATTGAAGCTGTCGCTTGTTATCTGTAAAACAACGAAAGAAAACCCTTAAATATCACACCGAGGGCTGTCTCAACGTAATACATGCAAGATCATGCAACAAATGATTGTTGATGAAATATTTACTTTTGATTCTATAAATTTACTCTTTGGTCATTAGATATATTCATTCTCCCGTTTTATTAACCATAGAAGAACAAAGTGGCAGCAATATTCTTTTGTTTCCGTAATTTACACTTACACTACACTTCTAGAAATTCTTCTTTGAACAGCCACATCAAATACTGTTAATTTGTACGTAGTAATGCTTCAGTTCTATATTATTGAACAAACCTATAATGTTATAATATCCAGATTTTCTATATCCACTTTCCCAGACATCTTGGCATGAATCAAACACTTTGTTGACACAATCAGTTTCGTCTGTGCCGTCTTCACAATGTTGATACTCGTCACAAATTAACCTTAGAGGTATACATCTTCCAAAGTCACAATGAAAGGCGAGGTTAGGTTGACATGTATCTATATAAAATAAAGGGAAACGTACGTATTCTATAGCATTCTTTCTGCACTATGATAAAAGGTCACAGCAGTAAACTATTGTCAAATATTCGGACTGGTAAATGCTTTAATTCAACTGACTAGCTTTCCGTCGTCTAAATGCTTATCTAATTACAGTTAAATTATCACATTTTAACTTTTTTTGTTTCTAACATTAAGTTAAAATATAAAGCAAAAATATATAGAAAAAAAAGGAATGAGAATACAAGACTGCATCATTTTGTTATATAAAATTAAAGAGAAATAACGTAAATTAAGATAGAAAGAAATAAAGGAAGAAACTTTCAGCAAAATAGAAAAGAAGAGGAAATAACTGAAATGCGTATCATTCGGATAGTTCGACGATTTGAATATGAAGCATTTAGTGATTTGAGCTGATGTGAATATGCTTAAGAGAATCCTGCTTTTTCGGATGTATGTATGAACGGCTTCAAACAGTCTTCTGTTTGCATCATCACTAATGTTTGGGTCTCCATTTAATAACTTTTGGAGAGTTGCTGAACAAATAGTAGATATAGTGTTAAGAAAAAAGGCCCTGCTGTCAATATAGCGTTGACATTCAAAGAAAAAATGGTAATTACTTTCCACTATGCCACACTGACAAAGAGGAGATGGAGATATAGTTTGCTGATTTAGAGAACTATATTCAGTACGAAGTCGAGCATGATAGATCTGCCATTTTCTATCGCCTTCATAGAAATAAATCGGACAACTAGAGCTGCTTCGTCTCAAATGGGATTTGAAAGAGGATAGTGAACGTAAATGTTTTACTTCAGTTGGAAGGGCGTTCCATTTATTCAGAGCAGTTGGAAAAAAAGCATTTTGATAAAGAGTTGTTCGTCTTCGAATAGTCTGAATATTTGTAGCATTGCGTAGATCGTACCTTGAATATTCACCTACAGTAGGTGGAAGTAAAGAACACAAGTAATCTGGTGTTTAGCCATTTTTCATTTTATAAAGTAAGATAAGCATATGATTATTTCTTCGAGATTCTTAGGATTCCCAAGGAACTTCACTATGGAGTTGAACTAATGATACAAGTTTTGTAGCACCGCACACAATACGCGACGCTTCATTTTGAATTTTGTCAAGCTCAAGTTTCTCATATTGTGTGCACTTCAACAGATCTACGGTTAAGCTGAAACTTTAAATTCCTCATAATGTGTATCCTCTTCCAGGCTCGTTCGGTAATATATTTAATGTGAAAATGCCACGAGCAATCGTCTGAAAGGTTGAGGCCAAGATGTTTGTGACTGTTGACGGTTGTTATTTGTTGGCTATGCATAAGAAGTGAAGGATGAAAGGGTTTATTTCTTTGACGAGAGATAACCATAGATTCAGACTTCGATGGATTGAAAGTAACGAGCCATTTTTCAGCCAAAGCTGATATCTTGTCTATATCAGATTGAAGTGTTCCAGCAGCAGAAGCTTGGAGCCTTGGGGTACTCCAGCCTTAACTATCGACCAGTCTGATTGGACCCTAGGTAGGATAACCGCCTGGTGTCTCTTAGTAAGATAGTCAGAAAACAAGTTAAGTAGAAAACCGTCTACTCCAGCAGCTTTCAACTTAAAGAGAAGACCTTTGTGCCAGACTTTATCGAACGATTTACTTATATCAAAGAACACAGCTAGTACTTCTAATCCGTCATCTAATTAAAGCTTTACAGAATGTACAAGTACGTTAACTGGTTTACCGTTGAGTCACCTGGTCTGAAGCTTGACTGTACGGAAGAAAGGAAGTTATTATCTTGAAGAAAATTAAATAGATACTTAAATATAATACGTTCAAAAACATTTTCTACGCCGCACAACAAGGAAATCAGACGATAGTTATTTGGAACAGATGGAACACGCTGATTAGCGGGGCGATGTTTTATTTAATAAACTTCAACCCGCGCCCTCGCTAATTAGCATGTTTTCGCTCTTCTCGACTTTTCGCTTGGCGGGGTCGCGGTGCAAAAACACGAATGGCATAAATCAGCCAACATATCTTTTCACTATATATTAGGTTTTTTTTTTATGGGTCATAATTTAATTTGAAATATCTAATAAATCTTATCATGAGAAACTGAGAAAAGTCAAAATATATATAACAAACCACAGTTTTGTTCGTCTGATCCGTCTGCACAGTGTGGAATCGCATCGCAGCGCTGTGTCAAGGAAATGCATGGTCCATTACCGCATTGATATTCCGTAAAATCCGAACACTGTTCAAAATCTATATGTATGTAAAATAATGTGACAATAATTAACAATAAAAACGAATCAATATAATTAATTATACAATACATGTTTCAGCTAACACACAATACAATTTAAAGGTACACTTGTATATACTTGAATTGCTGTGAACTGTTACTATAAAGACTGTTACTATTTTAAGATTATTTGTTCGTATTTTACAGAAAATAATTGGTAAAAAATAAGCTTATTATTTACATTGTTTATCTATATAAGTGATAATGAACGTATCAAGTAAATGAAATTTCCATTCGTTTGTATATGACTCATAAAGCTGCATGCCTCCAGTTCGAAAATAACAAAAAATATGAGAAAAATGAACTAAGATTTTAAGAAACTTTCACAATCCAAGTAAAGATTTACATATGCAATGAATGGCTGATTTTGAAGTATTTATCACGTGACTAAGGCAGTAAGGGCTATTTTTTTGGGCATATTTTGAACTCTATATGGTAATTAACGTAGATTGAAAGTGCGGTTTGCAATGTGGAAATTTCTTTCTTTGCTCGCTTGAGAATGTAGTAATATCAGCTTATTAGCTAGTTTATAATATATGCACATTGCGCATGCTCAATAAACATGTCTAGCCAGTACCTCGATGTTAGGGATTTTAGGAGAATAAATTTACATCTTGTGGAGTATACACGTTTTTGTGTTATATCACTATTTTGTAAAGTCTACTTGATTATTTTAACTCCCAACAACAAAACAGAGAATATTTTACTTTTAAATCCATTTTTAAAATTTTATGAAAATCTGAGTGCATGCTGCTTTAAACACAAGACAACATACCGCAATTTTCATCAGACCCGTCGATACAATCTTTCTTGAAGTTACAAACTTGACTGATATGTATACAGTCACCATCGTCACATTGGAACTGATGTTTAGAGCAAGTATTACCTTCTGAAATTTATTGAAAACTAGTAGATGCAAGTATCTGCCATAATAGGATAACGCTTTGATTGTCCAGCAAAATCACAGGTTATCGGCCCTACCCCCAGGGTACCACCCCCAGGACCCGCTATACTACCTACACTATTTAGTATCAGTAATATATTTTGGATAGAATTGTTTGATTTTGTTTTGACATGTATTTTGAATGGGTTGAAGTATATTTGCGTAGTATAGCGGGTCCTGGGGGTGGTACCCTTGTCCCACTTCGATAACCTGTGAGCAAAATTAGTTTTTACGTGGCATCATATTCATTTTATTGCTTCCAAATTAAACTTAATTAGCAATTGATTTTTAAAGATAAACAATTATAATGGTGATGGATGACGAAAATGACTAGCATAATATATAAAAACTACATTTCTTATATTTATTTATAAAAAGACTGCCCTACCCTTTGTACCGATATATTCCGATCAACATTTATAGAAAATTCTGGAAACAAAGTGATCCCTCGGAAGCATTAATCACAACAAAATAACATAAGAATTTCAGACTCGGTTTGATTGAGTCTGTACATAAGGGACAATGTATAAGTGCAACATCCCTCACGCCCCCTAGCACCGGCCTGAGCGGTACTCAATTCGAGCGGTACTCAAGTCTCAACACTTTATAGTGTTGGCATCAATGATCCCGAAGGACCAGAAAATATAACAACACTGAAGTGAAGTACGGGGCAACTTTTAACGGCTGCCACACGGCACTTGACACCTGCTGTTGTGAAGTACAAAATTCTTGAAACAAAGTGATCCCTCGGAAGCATTAATTACAACAAAATAACATAAGAATTGCAGACTCGGTTTGATTGAGTCTGTACATGAGGGACAATGTATAAGTGCAACATCCCTCACGCCCCCTAGCACCGGCTTGAGTGGTACTCAATTCGAGCGGTACTCAATTCTCAACACTTTATAGAGTTGGCATCAATGATCCCGAAGGACCAGAAAATATAACAACACTGAAATGAAGTACGGGGCAACTTTTTACGGCTGCCACACGGCACTTGATACCTGTTGTTGTGAAGTACAAAATTCTGGAAACAAAGTGATCCCTCGGATACATTAATTACAACAAAATAACATAAGAATTGCAGACTCGGTTTGATTGAGTCTGTACATGAGGGACAATGTATAAGTGCAACATCCCTCACGCCCCCTAGCACCGGCTTGAGCAGTACTCCATTCGAGCGGTACTCAATTCTCAACACTTTATAGTGTTGGCATCAATGATCCCGAAGGACCAGAAAATATAGAAGTTTTCATGAGTCAAGTGGTTTATTTATTATTATTTGTGCATAGTAAAATACAATCTAACATAATTATGGCACAATGAAAACTTATTTTAACTTTAACCTTTGCATTTACTATTTACACTTGGATGAGCATCATGTCACTTAAAATCATGAATTTGACGCTGTACCCTCTTTGATTATTTTACGTGTATCTATTCAATTTTCTTGTTTTCTCTTTAAATTTGATTAATTAAAAATTATATATTTGCATTATTCTTAAAACTTATTTTTCTCGTGAACATGTATACATTTTTATTGTCTCAATAGCCTATAATGAGCTTCTTTTGCATAGATAACGAAAATCGATCGTCGTATTTTGTTATTATATACCATTATTAATGAAAAGTCAATATTGACAATAATGTCTCTAATGATCACACTAACATGAAATCGAAACAAAAATATGAGTAAAATAAAAGATAACCATCAGTCGATCTAGACAAAGAAATGCATAGTAAAATGTTTAACATTATGACTGTTCATGTTGGTCCCATGCGTTCAAATATATATTTGTTTTAGTTTAATACTTTAAGAAACTTCTTGTAGGACACGTTCAAACATGCATGTGATTGACTTTATTCATCAATACTTAAAAAGCACAGATGTTGCTCTGACGCACACATAAACCGGTTAAGTCAGACAGTTCTATTTTACGTTCAAGTAATCATGCAAGGATTGCTTAGAAATTTGGAACCATACACTGGTGATATTATAAAAAATGCTGAAGAGCGCTTTGTAATACTAAATATTTACTTACTATATGCATAGATACAAGTGACATACCCATTTTGTTTTCAGTACATTCTAACTCATCTGAAGCATCAAAACAGTCTATAACTCCATCACATGTGGCAATTACAGAAATATATTCATTTGAGTTGCATCTAAAGAAAGATCCAATTTCAAATGGCTCGTCATTAAATCGTCCTGATTTTTTTGTTCCGAAATCAATGTCTATCATTGGATGAACTGATGTAAAAAACCAACAACAACATAAGTTAAAAAACATCAACCCTATGTTTTGATTAGATAAATAATATGCTTGTTTTCTGTTGTTTTGTTTTTGTTTTTTTTTAAACCTGTTTCAAACGGAATAAGTATTTTAAAGAAAGAGAGACTGTTTCAAAATGTTCAACAGGGTAGGAAGGAAATAGACAATAATTAAGAAAGGAAAATACCGACGCCCCTATAGAACGCCTAAAACACCGAAATTAAAAATCTTCTAGGCTCGGTTTCTCGGAGTCACAACCAATGACTGCAAATGCATGTAACAAAATAACTTACGCAAAACATCTAGCAATCTCGATATTTTTCTCTCTCTACATGTTACAAGTACCTGTTAATTATTCCAGGAAAAGTTCTCTATTTTATTACTATGATAAGTTGTATCTACCTTCATCTTCCTAACAATAGATAAAGTCTACAAAGTTTGCTCCTATGGCCCTGCGTATGCTTGAAAATTACCTACATAACGGGCATAAGTGCTTTACGTTATCATTTTTGATAAGTTGCTATTTATCTATCATCTATAATTTCTCTATGAAATTTCTGTATTAAAAATTTAACTAATCATAATCTCAAATTATATGCTGTAGAACATACATAATGATACGAAATATTGCATTAAAACAGAAACATATTAATTACCAGAAAAAATGCAACCAATTTCGTCTAAGTTGTCGTCACACTCAATTCTTCTGTTGCATCTTAAAGAATTTGGGAGGAGTTTACCATCATCGCACATGAAATGGTTGTTTTTAGTAATGAGGGTTGTGTCATCAGTGTTTACTTCATCTTCTGGAAAAATAAGAAAACATATGAAATATTAAATAATGTATGAAACAATACATGTAGTTTTGATTAACTTAATCATCTTGGGATTTTCATTCATTGGATAAACTGAAATGACGATAACAACGAAAGAGACCTCATTAATATTAAGTCCTTTAACTCGTTAAAAAAACTGAATAAACAATATAACAAAAAAATAAATAAATAAAAACGTTCACAAGAGACTTTCCATTTTTGTTACAAAAAGCTTTTTTGTCAATGAGCGTCCGTATAAACCTTAAATGTGCTTTTTCGACTGGCCGTGATGAGGCGTTTATGATTTGAGGAGGATTTTTTTAATTTTCATATATTCCATTAGGGTCAAGGACAATTTAAGTGCAGGTTCATACTTGAGTGACATCACATAAAAGTTTCATCTAAAGAGCTGTAATTTCCAAATCAATTTATCAATGACAACTTATCGGTTTTATCCTAGGTGATAATAGTCCAAATATAAATCTATAATATGAGTCTTTATTAATAAAATAATTACAGCAAGTTTATCAAAATCAAATTGTTGAAGGACAATTTAAGGAATTAACCATTGAAAGTCAAGTTCATTTCTGTCTCAAGATCAAATTCCTATATTAGAAAGTACACATTATGAGAATTATTCCTGTCAAAGTTTGGTAAAATTGGTTTAGTGGTTTAAAAGAGGAAGCACACAAAGACCATCAGAGAACCAGACGTCCGCCTGACTGACAGCCTCAAACATCATATCTCTTACCATTTTCAGGGGTTACACACATATTCAACGAGTTGAAGTAAATTCAAGGATATTTGTCACCTTCAAGCTGGCAAGGCTCCCATTGTTCAACATCATTTGATACCTCTACAAAACACCAATTGAAACCAAAATTGGAAGGATCTCGACAATAGTTCAAGGATGTATCTATGTCGGTATTTGAACTAAAAAGAATTTTATTATTAATTTTGTCCCAGCTTCTACATGGTTTTCCAGTTATTGTTGTATTTCTTTTTCCAGTAGACTCTATGTGTTTCATACAAATACGTTTAGTTTTGATATCTGTAAATAATCAAGAAAATAAAAGAAAATTATTTGATGCGACCCATGAAATATAATATTTAAGTAAAACAAGTTAAGTAATCGAGATATATCAAATTAAAATTGTCATTTTTCAGTTGGAAGCTGGTTAATGTAAATTTATATTGGAACATAAAACACATATTAGACAACAAATATATCTTTACATATTCAAGATAACAAGTGAATATCCATATGTAAGTTCAAAGAGTAAAAATCTATTTGTAGTAAATCAATATCTTTTTAATGCAGTGTTCAGAGAATAGAGTGAAAGCATTTTTAAAGTAAGCCGTAAAATAACGTTTTATTTTAGCGTATTATATACACAATTCTACCTTTTAATAAACATGGCTCCCATCGTGTATTAGATTCTGTTGTGAAGCACCAGAAATTACCGGTTTCCCCAGGGTCTCTGCAATAATTAGCTGCATCAGATATACCTTCTCCCTGCGTAATAAACAGTATACGTTTAGATTTGAATCTTAAGTCGGCAATTGACACCTTTTCAAATTCAAATGCAATATCTATATTTTTATAAACGGTATGAAATTATAAAGCTTTAAATATTGTCAATTACCAAAATAAGATTAGAATAAGCATATTCCATGCATAACACAACACATTGAGACAAATAAATCTTAAACAAGTTATTGCTACATGTGTTAGGAATTTAAACCACCTTGTTCCAATAAGTCTATTGTGCATCATTTTTACAATACAGAGTATCCAATGTTAAACATAAGTATATATAACATATTTGAATGACGTAAGGATTATTATACATGTATCATAAATTTCTGAATTAAACCCACTTTAAAGATGGTGCCATCAAAATTATGAACATATGGAATATTTCGGTCCCATCTTTGACACACTTTTCCTGAGAATGTTTTGCTGAGATTACCCATGTACTTTTCGTATGTAATATTCGAATCAGTCTTTGCAGGCACTAAAAATGTAACATTTTGTTAATACGTCAAACAAATTTTTGTAAATATGAGAAACCTTTGAAAAATACTAGAACCTGATTTAAATGCCAGTGGCATAAAAGTAAAAATACAGAATTATAACTTGTAAAGTTTTTTTTTCCCCTAGAAATTTTTAAATGTGTATGCTTTAATGCTGATATCAAGGGAGTAATCGACACCTTAAGTATTAACTGAAGTTTTTTCTTACTTTAAAGTTTTATAGCTATTTACTAACTAGTGTAGATTAAGGTAAGAGATCGACAAGGTCACTATGGAGTTTGGACAAAATGTTCTTGTGACAAAGCATCGATATAAAGTGACTAAAACAATAACAGTTATATATAAATTTTCAAAGCAGCTTATTTGAAAGCACATAAAGAGACAACTATATTTTGTAATTGTTTCAATAAACTTCACATATAGCGAACACGGTTATAGCGAACTTCCGGTTATAAGGAACAAAATTTTTTGGCCCGAATTTTACCCTTCTTTATTTAATGTAAAAAATAACGGTTACAGCGAACACGGTTATAAGGAATTATCGCTTATAAGGAACTCATTTTTTAGTCCCAATGCCATAAAAAGTACAGAAAATTACACTTTTATAACGAACTCCAAAATATCGGCTATCCGTAAACAGATCACGCATTTTCTACTTTCGTTTTCATCGGCACAGATTAAAACTTGTAGCGGATATATTAGGAACAAATAATGACGATGACAGTCAATCATCCGAAAACGAGATCTATTTAGATGATCTGCCGGTTGTGTCAAAAAAATGCAGCTATTGATTAGATTAGGTCATACTTCGAGTCTAATGCACATGTTGAAGAAACAGTTTTTAAAATTTTATTGGATATTGAATTTAACCTTAAGAGTTGTAAACATTCCCAAACTAAAATTAGCGACTTCTTCAAAGCAAAGTGATTATGTTTATGCATGATACTGTATTGTTAATAAATAACAAAATTGCATATATGGTACATATCATATAATTATCTGATAGATATATTTATACATAAAAATTATATTAAAAAGAAACAGCATGGCAATTATTCCTTTTTTTTTATTGAATCAATATAAGGGAGACAACAATGACGAACCAAAAAGTCATTTCTCTTAAAAAAATGTTTTTTTCAAAATGGAGGACGATGGTTAACAATTAGTTCGTTATATGTAAAACTGTTCGCTATAAAAACTTCTGATACAAGGAACTAATTCGCTAAATGCTTACAAGGAACTCCGGATATAAGGAACAGATTTTGAATGTCCCAATGATTTCGTTATAAGCGGAGTTTACTGTAGATCATAATCTAAGGAGTCCAATCACTGACCATACAAATACATTTTTAAATGATCGGATAGAATATAAACACCATTCACTATTTAGTTAAAAATTCTAATTCTAATAATGGTAACCATTTAAAAACTTTATTCTCCAGATAATTTACATAAAAATGTCAATTGTAGCACTTACAATTGATACTACATTCCTCCCACACATTGTCGGATTGCTTGCATGCAATTTTCTCTAAGCCGTCTTTGTATCGGCATGACATGTTAATGCACCGTGCACCAGTTACTGTAACACTGATATTCCCGGAATATTCTCGAGCCGGTATCTGCTCGGGGACCGTAACACGCTCAGTATCAGCAAAGATAAGTAAAGACTTAATTGGAACTGCAATATAGTCATTTATTTCTATTCAATTTGTTTGCAAAATATCAAATTTTAAGATTAATGCTTGTTTTGCACAATCCTTAGGTTTTTAATTACGGAGGGAGTTGTAAAAAGCATTTCTTACTCGGTCAGTCTGCAAAATTTAGTTTCATGTAATTTATAATAAAAATAAAAAGATTTTAAATAGAATACTGATAAAGGGAAGATGTTTTTATATGAATTTGATGTGTAAGCTATTTACAAGAAGTTAGATGACTAAAGTTTATTAGCTACAATTGCAACAACTATGTTATTTCGTATAATGAGTAAAACAACCTTATAGATGCAAACACAAACAAGTGATAACTGATTTGTTTCGATTGATAAAAAAATAAGTATTAATTTTACATTTGACTTACCGCTGTCTGTAACTTCTTGTTTACTTTCACACATAACATATTCTGCCAATTTATGACTACAGTCTTCACGTTCCCATGTATTGTTTTCATAGAAAAGCTTGAAGTTCATCCGGCTACACTTTCCCGTTGTCATTATCTTCAAGTTCCTTGTAAAATAAGAAACATAAATATCTGACTGCCGTAGCCACGTTTAAAGACAAAAATTGTTCATTAATAAATTATTTTCATTCCAGTATTAGAACAATTTGTCCTGAAAATGATTACGGATTTAAAACACAAATACATTACGTTCGCGCAAATACATTGCAAAACATTAATTGTGAACAGTTAACATTTGAGTAGCATGATAAAACAATAAAAAGAAGATATAACAATTACTATTAAACTCGAGAACACTTTTTGTATTTTCTGACGCAGTCAGGAAATACAATGCTGACATTAAATCTCTGGCACAGAATTTCACGACACACCTAACAACAAGTAGTTCTCAAAACAGTTTAAAACTAGCGATGTTACAGAAAGAAATATTTTTATTTTATTACAAGTATCCAACAAATTACAACGCATTCAAAGTTTAAAAGTAGCGCTGACTTATAGAATTGACAATAAATGCACAATCACAAATTACGCGGATGAATATCATTTTAATCAATGAAAATGCTATTTTAGCGATGTCAATTACCGAATGCTTCATAGCGTAGTACACAAATAAATCTGACTGTCGAGTAGTGAAATATATACATGTCGGACTGTTTTGGCGAGAAGATTTTCGCTAAATTATTTACATCAGTGTTAAACAACAGGTTTATCGTGAACAAAATAATCAAAACTAATAATTTTAAAGATTACAAACCCGAAATGGAAATACTAAATTCAGAATTGATTGATTTTATTCAGGCTTTCTTCGTGTAACTTCCCCGTGGTACAGGGGTAACGCGCTCGTTTAGGGTGTGAGAGGACATGGGTTCAAATCCCAGCAATTATTTTTTAAGTGTCTTTTTTAAGAAAGTAGACACGATATGCAATGCTAATGTGTGGCTGTCATAAAAAATGAACATAAATTATTTTTTTGATGCAACTCTAGTCATGCAAAATCCCGTATGTATCAAACTCAAACTGTTATAGTAAAAAATCTAAACGCAGTCGCTGCATCTCGGTGCCCTGTAAGATGAATTAATTTATAGTATATTAAAATAAACTTATACAGGAAAATACAAACAGAAGTACTGTACAATACGATTTAGATTGCAAAGATTGAAAATACCACAGAGCTTTCAGCCCTTTGATTTACAAATGATAACATACCATGCTGTAAAGATTGGAATGTTTCCATTTTCCCATACTGCTTTTTCATTACCAGACATTGATCCGATGGATAATCCTAAAAATTACAACAGTCAGTACTTTAATAAATTCCTGGAAATCAAGTTGTATAACTACATCAATATATTTACAAGCATAGTTTTCATCGGATTAAGGGTCATTAGTGAGTAAGTAAACAGTAACTTGACGTCTCGTTGAATTTTCATAAGGATATGGTGCGTATTATTATTGTTATACATGACACGAGCATATAAAACTTTTAATTTATAAGAGAAAGATTATGAAGTACCAACCTGGGCATCTGACAATAAAGTATAACGTAACATTTGTATACGGGAGCATCATAATAAACATGTATGATCAAAGTATCTTTAAAAAAGTCCTCAATACTTTATTTCATTAATATATAGAACAGTGGTGACTAGACCTAATTCATCAGATAGAACAGCTTTGTATAGAGATAATTCCCGATTTTGAAACGAACAAAAAACAACACCCCCCCAACACACACACACAACCAAAAACCTGATACCGATATGGACGTAATATTCAGCATTGAAATACGACGATGGGGGTACGTCTATGTTTCTCCTTTCACGTAACAAATACTTGATAAACCGCATTTCGGACAACGACGTCATGGAAACCAACGACATGTTCCTCGCCCAGCATTCTAGTCGTGCCTGATTCCAGTTTGTTACTTTCGATATTATACTATAGCACTTCTTAAACCTCTTTGAACACACTACGAAAAAGCAAAATAAAAAAAAACAACAAAATCCAAATAGAATATGATAAAACCATAAATATATCAAGAAAATTTAAATGAACATAAAAGACATGAATTTGAAAATACAAATGGCAGAACAGGCATCATAAACTTTGAATTACCTTTCGTGAAAAGAAATATTCCTCTATGCATATTGCATCTGTTGGATCTACATTTTCATTTCCAGAATTTGGAAGGAACATAATGTAAGCTTTTCAAAACAAGGACCAAAAGAGCATATTACGGTATAATTTACCTAGACAGTTTCCCATGCCAATACAAGGTCGACTTTCAACAACTTCTTCACAATTATTTATGGTTCTTATTGATTTCGAGACCTTACATTTTCGTCTTCTTGTCACTAATCCATCGCCACATTCAGCTGAACATTGACTCCACTCAGACCAATGACTGAGGCCATTAATATCTACACGTTTAATACAAAACAATATATTTTAGAAAATGACAAAGCACAAATAGAAATAAAGTCGAACATTTGAGAATATCTTAATATAACGTATAACTAAATAACTAAAGAATAATACTATTTCAAATATAAGACGTAACAAGCAATCATCAAAATATAAGATGGACTTTTCAAACCTGACTTATTTCTTGAACGGATGTTAGGATCCACAAACTCGGAATAAACTGTAAAAAAATGCAAGAAAGATTATCAGGATTATGCTTACTTTAGTGTAAATTCTAAATCATGACCACCTTTAATGATGCTGTATTTACATCATGTTTGACTGATTTGTATTGTCGAGACATTCTTTATTAGTTGATTTTAGGTAAGATAAAATATTACGCTCCCTTAGCAAATGTCAACAACTAAAACAAAACTAAACATTTAGATTAAAATATATTGTATAATTATTGATCATTCAGATTTATAAAATTAAATTATGAATATGATTTGGAATATTTTTTTCCGAATAGACAATTAGAGGAGCTTTACTGAGATCCTAAAGCGTTCAACTTTTTAAAAAATATGCTCAGAATTAAAAAAAATCAAAATCTAGTGATATTCTGAGCAATCTTTTAAACGCTTTTCATGTTTAGCCATTTATTTCAGCGCATGAATAGGTATTTTGAAAAACGGAGTGAGGAAATGAACTTAAGATTTTGCGCACAAGTTGTTTAGAGACCAAGCATCAAATGGTATAAAATCTCGGGGAAGTCGATCCCCATAATGTAAAAACACCTCAGTCGAGTCCCTTTTTTTAAAACGTTTAAAACTAATAAAAACAAATGTCAAGTGTCGTGTGAAAGCTGTAAAAAAGTTGCCCAATACTTCACTTCACCGTTATTATATTTTCTGGTACATCGGGATTATTGATTGAAGCACGTTAATTAGTGCTGAAAATTTAATACAGTTAAAGCCGGTGCTAGGGGGCGTGGCAAATGTTGCACTTTTACATTATCTTTTATGAACAGACTCAATCAAACAAATCTGCAATTTTCATAAAATGCTGTTGTTATTGCAACTGATGGATCAACCTTTTTCCAGAGGTTTTGTTATATGTTTTATTTCATATGATTAAACATTGTATATTAGTGACATATATTACAATTTATTAATTAATATATTAAAGAGACATTATGCTCATATTTTCATCGTCAAGTTGAGCTGAATTGACTTTATATTTCTAAAGATTGACTGTCAAAATGGTGTTATTGGAAAATGTTCAGGATAAAATTATAAATCTGCCTAAAATTTAAAAAGACTGCCCCACTCTTTTTATAAACTAAGCGTTATACGTAAATTCTAACGGATATTAACAGAAATTTCATTTGGATTTGTGTGTTATCTACTGTTAATTTGAACTTAATTATTAAATTAAAAGGGTTTATGGCAAAATGAAAACATATTTTGATCTTCGCCCGTTTACTCACTATATACCCCTGGATGGGCATAATGTCACTTTAATTGAGTTCAAAATTAAAGCTTTTTGTCTAAATTAGATACGATAGAAACAAAATTAATAAGTTCACCCTAGAAGTACAAGTTGGAAGAACGAACAAATAACCTTCACAATTGGCACCGACAGGCGAACACTGTCTTCCAGAAGTATTTCTTCCAGGGCATTTCTGCCCGCTAAATTTCTCCTCGGGATTGTTACAAAGTCTATGTCTGTATTGTTGACCATCACAGTAGCATTCATTTGACCACGGGGACCAATGGCTCCACTCGCCATGGACTAAGCAATAAACAAAATAGCATGACTATATAATAATCCATCTTCGTATTTTTTATTTATATTATTATAAATACAAGTTGCTTGCTGGATATAAGGGAGTATATAACCAATATTTATGTCAGCAAGGCTATACATTGTATTTTATCATATATCCCGTTAGTAACTTGTATAAAGAATTTATAATAACGCAAATAGTTGTTGAAAACCCAGCACCTTTAGAATATTTTTCATAGAAGCGCGGGAAAAGGCACACTGAAATAAGATTACGTAAGTAAGTAAGTAAGTAAGTAAAGGCTTTATTTATCGAGGCTACACATTTGGTTTCCCAATCTTCCATGTGGGCCTCTATGAAACGTAATTTACAACATATACAACTACAATATTACAAAAATAATTGCAACAACATTGTGTTACAATGTACATTGAAATTGTCAGAACAAGAAATACATGTTATATGTATATGTTATATACAAATATATACAGTCCATTGATAGCATAATACATGTCAAAGAAGTACATATCAAATGAAATACGTTTTAGGTGGTACATCAAATGATTAGATTCTAATTTTGTTATAAAATGATTAATTTAATGATGAGAAATGCCAGGATAGATATGAAGCTTGAAATTCCTGAACTGTTTTAGATTTTCTTATGTTAAGAGGGATATTATTCCATAATTTAGGGCCAGAGTATACTAGGGATTTTCTGAAAAATTCTTTCTTAGGTCGTGGAACAGCTAGGTCTGAACTATTTGTAGATCTTAAGTTGCGCTCATGTTTTTGGTAAACAAATTGGAATTTACTTTGCATGTATTGTGGATATGGTATGTCATTGATAGATTTAAACATTATAATTGCATTTTTGTATTTCATTCTTTCATCAAATCTCATCCAATTTAGTTCTTTAAACAAATCACTGGAGGGTATATCGTAACTTTTATCTAGAATTATTCTTGCTGCTCTTTTTTGAAATTTTATGATATCATTGATCAGATCATTGCTGCAATTGCCTTTTAATATAGATTCATTGGCTTTACTTAGTGCTGAAATATTTCCTGATTTTTTAAATACGTTTGAAAAGAAAGTATTGAATATTTCTGCTGTTTCTTTTGGGTCGGAGACTGGATTTCCATTGTCATCATTTATATAGTTTGTTTGGAAGTTTTCAGTTTTGCCAGATAGTACTTTTAGGTTCTTCCATAACTTTTTAGGATTTTTATTTTGTGAATTTATTTCTTGATTAAAGAAGTCTTTTTTTGATTGATGGGATAGTATTTTAACTTGTGATCTCCAGTATTTAAATTTTCCTGTTTTATTTTTCTTTGTTTCGCATAATTTCTCATATGAATAGCACTGGCTATTTCATCTGTGAACCATTCATTCTGGTTTTTGTGTTTTACCCGTTTTTGTCTATATGGTGCATGTGAATCAAGAACTTTTAAAAATAAGTCATAAAAAGTGTCAAGAGCATCATCTGATTCAGTAAAAACATCAATCAATGTCCATGGTTGATTACTTAGATCAGTTAAAAAATGTTCTGCATTAAATTGCTTTAAATATCTATAATTGATAGTAAGGTGTAATAGGCCTTTCTTGATTTTTGACTTAGTTTTACGGGTAAAAACAATGGGGAAATGGTCACTTATTGAAAGAATTGGGACCTTCATATTACATATATTTTGAGGCTGATTTGTGAAGAGATGGTCAATGATAGTTGAGGATGTTGGTGTGACTCTAGTAGGTTGTGTTATTAGTTGATTTAAATTGAATGTACTGATTGTATTATTCCATTTTGAATTAACTGAAATAGAGTTAATAAAATTGTAGTTGAAGTCGCCAAAGAAAATGATTTCATTGATTTCAACGTATAAGGTTTCTAATATGTTTTCAATTTCTTCAATCCATGAATTAAGTGATGAATGGGGCCTAAAAATATATCCTACAATAAAAGGTTTTTGTCTGTCAAGCTTCATTTCTATCCATATTGCTTCAATATCACTTGAATTAAGGTCTGTTCTACTCTCACAATGTAAGTTTGATTTTACATATAAAACTATTCCTCCCCCATTTGATTGTCTGTCATGCCTGAAAAGTTGATAATTTTTTTAATTAATTTCATTGTTTGAGAAAGCATCACTGAGAAAGGTTTCTTGGTAATCCAAGAATGTCAATATCCGGGAGATTATCAATTAGAAACTGAATTTCACTGAATTTTGGATATAAATAATGTATATTGAGATGCAGAAAGTTAAGTCCATTTTTGTCTAATTTTAAGTCTTGGAGTTTTATGTCTTGATGTGATGAGTCCAAATTGTTCTTACTTATTTTAAGAGGAAATTTATTTTCTTGACTATTTTCATTTTCTAGACGAGTATGTAAAAATGTAGAATCATTAAGAGCTTCGAAATGGAGTTTATCACCGATTCCACTTTGTACAGTACAGTTAGGATGGTGCATGATGCACTGGTGTCCATGGATATGGCATCTGCATCCATATTGGCATCCTTCTGTTGAAATTAAAATCATAAGCTATTTTTGAATTCATTTATCGTACTCTTTTTTATGAGGAAAGGTTGACAATAGGGTAATACTGTAGTGCTTTGTAACAACTGCAAAATGTGTCTGTATAATAGTATTGTTAAAAAATTATTTTATATTCTTCCTGTTATTTGATTCCATTTCTTTCAGTATTGAAGAATAAATATTGCTCCAGTCGTTCCCGTATGGAACGAGATGTTGCACTTTTCATTATTGCAAATGAACAATAATACGAAGGATTTCCTTTTTCCTTTTTAATTATTATTCACTTTTTCACATTTACCCTTTTCAATCTCTTGACGGTAGAGTCGTTGTAATGCATTTTTCTGGATAATGTTTGAGAAGAAAATAATCATGTAACGATAAAAATTCTCAAATCATGTTGTTTTATGATATTGCATTTGTCAAAGTGACTATTCTTTAGTAATATAATATTCTACAGTCGATTTTGGTACTATGATCAGTTTAGATTTTTATCTGTATATCTTACCTTTATTTGGTTTATATATCTCTTTCTTAGAATCATATTCTTGTCCTAGAAATAAAAGCTTATCAATATAAAAACAATAGGTACACGTCTTATTATAATAATGCTGACTTAATTTTGTATATAGTACAATAGTACTAGATAAAACTGTGAGTAAATATCTAACATGCACTTATATAATACATATAGAATTTAAACTTGAAATTAAGTTAACAAGATGGTAGTCTCAAAATCATTGTTTAATATATTAGTTTAGATGAATAAAATTCGGAGGGCATACAAAAAAGTTGTTTTCACTCTGTTAATGGAAAATGATATAAAGAATATATTGCCGATAACATAGGAATAACAGAATAACAAGTCATTTATTTGACAAAGTTTTTGCTATTTGGTAAAATAATTGTTACAGAACTTTGTATTTACAGAACCTTTTGAATATTCTTTTAGCATTATATATCTACAAATAGAATAATCATACGCTATTGATAACTTCTTTCAAGTTATAGCAAATGCATACCTTCTCTAGAATATACTTTCACTTCGCATAAAGTAAGATCAACAAGACTAAGAAGCTGTTCCAGTAAGATATATCTTGTTGTTACATCGTTCAGTTGTATTGTTCTACTTGGTGTAATCTCTCCGTAAATAAATGCCACCTTTTCCAGTTCCCACACTGTTAGTCCAGTTGAAATTACAATGTGGTTAAATTCTTTAATGTATAAGCTGTAATAAAAGCCAGTATCTAACCAAAATTTTTGTAATATTTGAATTTTATATGCTGTGTCAAAATAAGTGGTCAGTAGTACAACTAATTCGACATGTCGAAGAAATCTTGAGATAATGTTTGGATGGGCGATACACCTTATACAGCGCATTTGGACAATGTCGGTACATGTGAGAATTCGCAGTTCAAACGACTTTTTTTTGAAAAATGATGAATTTTCCGAGGATTTAATGACATTTGAATGTACGGACGGACAAAAACAAGAGCACGATGAAAATCTGTTAAATGTGCTGTTACGGGCTAGAGAAAAAGATATAAAATTTAATCTACACAAATGCATAATAGGTGCAATCGAGGCCAAATACTTTGGTAATTTACTGAGCTCAGACGGAATGAAATTGACCACGACAAAGCTTCAGCAGTTATAGGTATGAAGCCTCCTCAGAGCTGAGCTAAAACCTGTTTGGCATGATGTCATATATGGCCAACTGTCACAAATAATTAGTCCTATGCGGTACCTGCTATACAATTTATACGGGACGTCCACGTCCCCGAGCATCGACTTAAGCAAAATTCAACATTTAAACATGGAAACGGTGAAATTTAGATTTTAGAAACACCCGCAGATGTGTTCATACAGCGGTAATCATGGAACCATCAATGTGACACGTAAGTGACATTCTATGAAAAGCGGCGTAGGGTCCCCATGCATGTGCCCTTAACGAGAAAACAATTGCAAAACTAAACAAAATGGAATTTCGAGAGGGGATCAGAGGTTATGAAGGCTGCATATCATCGATAAGACGTCAAAAAGACCAATTAAAAAAGCAGGCAACATACACTAAGGGTGATTCACATTATTCAAGTTGGAATATTGAAATCACCAAACTGGACCAATTTAAACAAGAGCCATGTAAACATGGCCATCCACCGCCGAATGTGTTTGCTCATTGAAGAATGTATATATAGTATATAATATCTATGATTATAGTAGAGCAGAATAATTCAATTTTAAGAGGTTTTTTGGTAACCCCAGTTTAAACCCCAGGGCTCTTATTTTAACGAACTTGGTAGACATCCATTCGAACATGTTTCATGCTAAATGTCTTAGCTCTAGCTCTCTGCATTCTTTAAAAGATTTTTTTTTAAAGTTTTTACTATATGCATATAGGGATAATCAATGACCTGGGGCGGAGCCAATTTTGACCCAAGGGCTTTTATTTGAACAAACTTGGTAGACACCGATTAGAAGATGTTTCATGCTAAATATCTTAGCTCTAGCTCTTTGGGTTCTTTAAAAGAAGATTTTTTAAGTTTTTACTATATACATATAGGGAAAATCAATGACCCCCAGGGCGGGGCCGATTTTAATTCTAGGAACAAAATTTGAACAACTTTGGTTTTGGACCATATATGATACCATAGACCAAATATCAAAGTTCTAGGCCATTTACTTTCAGAACAGAAGATTTTTCAAGTTTTCACTATATGTATATAATGAAAATCAATGACCCCCGAGGGCGGGGCCAATTTTGACCCGAGGGCCATTATTTTAACAATCTTGGTAGAGGTCTACACAATGTTTCATGCCAAATATCTTACCTGTAGCCTTTGCCAATTCAGAGAAGAAGATTTTTTTATGTTTTACTATAAACATATTAGAAAAACCTATGACCCCCCGGGGCGGGGCCAATTTTGACACTAGGGACAAAATGTGTACAACTTTGGTATTGGACCTTCAGATGATACCATAGACCAAATATCAAAGCTCTATGCCATTTACT